CGACTCCCCTTAATCCGATCCGAGGCAACCTTGATCCATAATTCCCTTTCTATTCTCAAGATTTCCAGGAAACACCGCTACCTTTACCCCCTTTCCACGGGCTCCAATTACAATCAGACTATTCCATTTGACGAACGCTAACAAGTAACATTACGCCGTTGGGGTGGTTTATCTAGCTGAATAAATAATAATCGTAGTTGGCGCCGTCTCCGAACTGAAAAATGCACGCACTTGTTTGTATGCGTTTCGTTTTATCGCAAATAGGGGGGGCGAAAGTCTATTGTCTTTTTTTTTTTATGTTAAGAGGGTGGAATGTGTGTCTGTCTGGCGAAATCGATAGGTCTTAAAAATGTTAACCCACTGCATTCTAACTTGACTTCCATCTCTGCACATTAAAAATAATCCTCCCCCGAACGATCGTTTTACCTTTTTGGGTTTTTTTTCACCTCTATTCAATATTGATCCGTAACCTAACCTAACATGCATTGTGATAGGCTCACCACATCCGAAACTATTCTATCAATAAATTATGCTGCTGCATTGAGAATTGAACTTTTCAGTGACAAATTTAACATTTATCAAACTTATTGCATCATTATATGCAAACATACAAAAATAACCTTTATCATACTTTAACTTCCAAGTAAATGATATAGAAATCATTATATAATTGCATTAATCACAACAATATTAACTTCAAAAGTTTATCAACTATTTAAAGGTGAGATAAGTTAGAACGAAAAATGTTATAATAAAACTAATTCTTATGAATAACTTTGTGTATTTAATACTCGTAACTTGCAAAGTAATATACAAATATTTATCAATTATTAACAAAAAATTGCCTTGTTTAGAGTCACAACGACGAATCACAGCCTGCTGTGAAGGTGTATTTAATACTCGTAACTTGTCAAGTAATATACAAATATTTATCAATTATTAACGAAAAATTGCCTTGTTTGGAGAAACAACGACGAATCACAGCCTGCTATGAAGGTGTAATTAATACTCGTAACTTGTCAAGTAATATACAAATATTTATCAATTATTATCGAAAAATTGCCTTGTTTGGTGTCACAACGACGAATCACAGCCTGCTATGAAGGTGTAATTAATACTCGTAACTTGTAAAGTAATATACAAATATTTATCAATTATTTACGAAAAATTGCCTTGTTTGGAGTCACAACGACGAATCACAGCCTGCTGTGAAGGTGTATTTAATACTCGTAACTTGCCAAGTAATATACAAATATGTATCAATTATTATCGAAAAATTGCCTTGTTTGGCGTCACAACGACGAATCACAGCCTGTTATGAAGGCTTGTATAATTCTTATTGGACCACGAAAAGAAAGAAATATAATAAGATAAGAAAGTAATAGAAATTTGGACGATTTCTATAGGAAAACGAGGAATCGGTTATCCCCAGATCGAATTAGTTATGATAAATGGATTACTTGGCAAGTTTAATTTACTTGTAGATCGTGTAAATGTATCCACAACGAAAAGAATGAACAAAAGAATTGTTCGACCGTGACAGGACTCGAACCTGCAATCTTCGGATCCGAAGTCCGACGCCTTATCCATTAGGCCACACGGTCTATACAAACTACCCCTAACAATCGCCATAACAACTTCGGAAAACCACCCCCAAACAATAAATTTAATTTTTTAACCACTTTAAACTAAATAATTATGAATACATTTAAATAGTTTTAATAATAGTTTTATTACATTAAACTATGTTATACGTATAAAAGAAAAATCATTGTAATATATGTTATTCTATCAAACTGTATTCTTTTGTTTATCATATTGTTAGGGTAGCAACGGATGCGATTGTTTTTCTTTTATATAAAACATTTAATTTAACGTTCCGCTCCGATTGAGTCTATATTATACAATAGCCGCGGTTCATACAAACAAACAAACAAAAAAACAAGGTCAAAGTTAGCTAAATAATGTTAACAATTGTTTACCGAATTGAATGTAGTGCAAAAAAAATGTTTGTTGTCGTTCGACCGTGACAGGACTCGAACCTGCAATCTTCGGATCCGAAGTCCGACGCCTTATCCATTAGGCCACACGGTCGTTGAATTTAACCCCCTGCAATTTCCATAGCAACGTAGAAAAACCACCCCTAAACATAAATTGAAACAAAATTGTTTTTCATATCATCTCCTAGTCTAAAACGAATCTCTGGCACATCTAGACACACCTGGAACAACGAAGTCTGTTGTTTCCGATGCTGCAATTTCCATAGCAACGTAGAAAATCCACCCCTAAACATAAATTGAAACAAAACTGTTTTTTCCCGCCAAAGAAACGAAAATCGATCAATCAATTGATGAATTCGTTACGTGACATCTGTTGCACACGCACGACCTTGCACGATCGTCTTCGCGTAATTACAGATGAATAACGATGAGGCACTCTTTGATTGCATTTGCATCAACATTAATTAAACATAATTGCATTATTAGATTATTAATCATACATAATAGCAAAGTGTAAATTCATTGAATAACCAATTATATTTTCAAGAGACACAAAATAAGACTAAATTCTGAAGCATTTTTCTATTTCGGATAGGCGTCAAGTGGATGGCTTTGTCCCCTTTTCCACAGACTAAACATAAATATTGAAATCTTAACGCGATAATAAAACAGACTACACAAATCAGTCGTCGCCTCCCTTGAGATTTTCTGCTGACACTTTTATTGGTTTTCACATATAAACAAAAGTATAAACATCATTTTCTATATTGACTTTCATACTTGACATATCCGTTTCTTTTTTTTTTATAACAAAACAAAATTTAAAAAAAAATCGAAATCAAAGAAATTAATTAAGTAAAATTGTTTAAAGTTGATAATTGATTTCGAAATACAAAGCAAAACAAATGCTAATTATATGACTTACCATTACGTCTACACGGGACGATAAGGAATTGCTGTAAATAGATAATTTCGCGTCTATTTCTGTGCGAAACGCGAATTATTTCCGTGGAAAAAAATCACCTTCGATTCAAAATTAAAACGACGATATTTTTAGAATCTGGCGGAACCAAGATGAAAGAGAAAAAGCGACGAAAAAATACGAATAAAGAGCGTAAAAACGGGTTATCTTCGCGAGGCCGGGGTCACAGATGTATCAAATAGCAATCGGCCGAACAGTAAGTAATCAAGCGTCGCGACGCCTCTGTATAATGATGAATTGATCACGTGATCAGAGAAACAAACTCTTCCGACTGTCACTAGATTACAAATAAAGTCGAAACTGTGATGAGCAGGATAGAAAACAAGAGTGAATCAAAAGGGAAAAGAGAGATGGAATTGGGAGAGAGAGAGGAAATGAAACGCATCGGAATTCACATGTAGAGCATAGAATGTAAACATTTATTTTGTTATTACAAATACTCGTAACACATCATCAGAAATATATCCATCTAAAAAAGTCACATCGTATCATCATTATCATCATCATCAGCATCATCATCATACAAGTAGTAGTAAAAACGAAGTAACAAAATAAATACATTTATCATCGTTATATCCGTTCACACATTAATTACATTTATTTATTTTTTTTTGGTTTATTTGTCTAAACTACTATATATTATCATCTCCTAGTCTAAAACGAGAAACGAATCTTCTGGCACATCTAGACACACCTGGAACAACGAACTCTGTTGTTTCCGATGTTGCTAAGTTACTTTGAGCTCTGGTCGCGTACCCTGTGGAATCCTCGCCATTCCTTCGCGCCTTTCCTTTATTTCCTTTTCCCCTCAAATTTACTTTGTTTTTTTTTTTTCATTTTCTTTCATTTACGAGCTAAATGTGCATACATCGAGTTTATCAAGTGCGTTCACTGGAATCGAAACTAAATGGATTATACACCGCGACGACGACGACGACTAAAAGGCGGATATCAATCATGGGCGCAGCAACAACATCGAGAATTTCACATTTAGTAAATAAATACAAATACATCAACCAGCCCGTTACGCAACATTCGCCAAGTAATTTTGCAATACTTGACGAGGTATGGCGCATAACAACATCGAGATTTCACATTTAGGAATTAATAAATACATAAACTCAAAGCCGTTGCCAAGTAACAGCATCATCGAGATTTCACATTTAGGAAACAAATACATCGTGCTGCTCTTACGCAACGCTTGCCAAGTAACTTGTGCAAACGCAAGTGGATACTCGGACTTGACAAAGTAAAACAATCGAAACGACGCGTATCCACCGAGAGAGTGCAATTCATCCGTTTCCAATGGTAACACACGACATAACAAAGTAGAAACAAGAACAACAACAAAATTTAAACAAAAAAGGAAAACGCTACATTTAAATAATCATTTAATTTTTTTTATTAACAAAAAATAATAATAATAACAAAAAAATAAAATAAAAATGCGAATGTAAAATGGTGGAAGAAAATAAAAATTAAATACCGGTTGAATGTGTGTGCGCGCTGCAGAAGAATCCTCCTCTCCGCGGAGGAATGTTGCGTTCATTTTTTTTCACTCTCTGTTTGCAGTTGCTACGCAACAACTGCTCGAAAACAGTGAATAAAAACGGAAGAAAAACGTTAATTAATAATGATGTTTTGTTTTTTTTTTTTTTTTTTATGTAGATTTTCCTTTTGTGCTTTATTCTTTCCTCGCTCATAATAATTGAATAAATAATACTAGTACGCAAAAAAATCCGTGTGTGTGTGTGTTTGTATGTATATCAATTAAATAATTTATATAAATCTATCAAATATATATAATGGATATATCGAACAAACGATAAAAAGAAAGAAACAACAATAACAAATACTGATCAAATTTTCTCCTCTGTTTTTTGTTTTTCCTTTTTTTTTTTTTATATATAAGTAAAAGCGTTTTTGGTCCTAAACGAAAAGCGTAATTCTAGAAAAAGGAAGACACTAGTTTCAAACATCTCTTTCTCTATGTCTCATCTATCTCTCATTTTTCTTTTCATCATCTTCTCCACTTCTATCCAACATGAACACAAACAGTAATTTAAAGAAAATAATAATAATATGATTGTTAGGTTTCTAAGAAAACGAAAAGCGGTTCCCTTGGCGACGATTTTTGTTGAAGTTAAAGCGAAAAAACAAAAAAAAATAACTTTGGTTAATCAATAAACAAAAGAAGGTTAGTTGAAACGAACGATGAGAAGCGCGCTTTCTTTGCATTTTGGTTTCGATTTCACTACGACTCGACCGTCGCCGCCGCCTTCTTCTTCTTGCCGACTACGGCTACGCCATTTGTTTTCGGCTCTTTCAGGATCTTCGTGGCTCCTTTGATCATCAGGTAGAACCAGTAGAGCTGCGGCAGCATCAGTATAGAGATGCTCACCTTGCATCCGGTAGGCAACGACATCATCGCCTGAAACGTTAACAGATTTTTAGTTGAAATGAGAATTATGTTTTCGATTGCTCTCACCGAAATGTAGTCCATATTGACGCTTTTAGCGTACATGTACATGACGTAGGGGAACATGATGACGCGACACAGGAAGAAGACGATGAGCATGGTGAAGCCGTTGTAGATGTAGAATTTTGTTGATTTCATGCTGAATCGCGAGAGGACGCTGCGCAACGAGACGAACGGAGTGCTCGCCTCCATGAGGAAGACGAAGCCGAAGACGCAATCACCCAAATTTCCGCGGAAATACTACAAAAAAAACACAATTTAATTTTTATATTCACATGAGTAGATTAGTTTACTTACTATGATCACCAGGAATCCGAATATTCCAATGAACAGGTGATGTCCGACTATGATAGGATTCAATCTAATGTACCTGTGGATTTTTTTTTTAAAATTAAATATATGTTTGGTCATATTTGTTTTAATTACCTGAAGAATTTGGTGAGTCCACTGATTGGTGCGCACTCGGAATTTGGGGGCGGAACGGGCGTGTTCATCTGGGCGGAGGGCGTGTTTATCTGACCGGGGGGCGTGGTCACGTGCACCTTGTACATGGACCAGATGTCGTAGAAGAAGTAGGAGGCCCCGAACCAGGAGTAGGCGTGCGATATGAAGTGGGACGTCCTCAGGATGTTCCTGTTGCACGAGTACGAGCAGATCGTGAGCCCGGTGAGGCAGGAGAGCAACGCCTGCACCGACGAAACTATCCTGAAAAATCACGCTTTAGCAACACTACTAGTGATTAAGATCAAACGATCGCATACTTGTTGCTGATGTCCAGCACGTCCGACGTGCTCAACTTGTAGCGTTTGATGAATCTCTGACCGCAGACGGTCTTCTGCGTCATGTGCACGCAGAAATTGTACAGGGACGTGAAGAAGAGACCGCCCATCGCGAACAGGCTGAACCCCTTGCTCAGACCGACGTTATCCTCCGCCTCCATGTCGGACACGCTGTAGAAGGCGGCGCCTATGGTCACGCCCACCACTAGAGCGTTCAGGTAGATCGTGTAGAATCTTTTGGCCTGCAACAAAAGCCAAACAAAAAAAAAACAATTACATAATAGAAATAGATATTGAAGAAAATACGCCATCTGGCGGAATTACGGAAACACATCTTATAAGTAATAAAAGTTGCCATCAGAATTGCGTAATGATGCGTTTAAGATCAAGGTTATTCCCCACCCAGTGAAAATCAATGGAAGAGAAGAAATGCAATTTTGATTTACAAACAACTGATTGGAAAAGAAAACTGAAAAACATAACATTGATTGAGTATAAAGGAGAATAATATTTACTCAAAAGTGTAATCACACATTTCTGATAAGTATATTCGAAATTATACTAAAAATTCAAATAGTTCTCAAAAAATATAAAGGCTGAGAAAGTTCATAAATTGTTGATGTTTTTAATTCGATTCATATAAAGCAAAAATGATCATATTTGTAATGAATAATTTGAAGGCTAAGCAAGTCGTGTCAGTCTCATGACTAATTAAAGAAAAACTACAAACATTTACATTATAAAAAAAAACTAAAAATACTGTTAAATCATCATTGAAATCATTACTTCTGATCAATTCATCAAAACGCTTGATATAACTGTGAGATATGAGATACATTAGAATTAGTAAATTGAAGGCCAAGCGAAGATCCCATGACCAATTTAAAAAAAACCCATTGACGTTTCGCAGAAAACTTCTGTTATTCTTATCGTTTCTAGGCGACGAAAACAAATGAATCGCGATCACTTGTTGTCCGGCGATGTGCACTTTGCCGTTGTCGTAGATATGTGACCTCATCGCGTCCGTTGTTATGCAGCCTCATTGGATAATCGGAGGGGACGAAGTGAAATTATTTAATTTTTTCCAGTCGATTGCGGTCTAAAGTTCTTATTGCATCTCTCCATTTGCGCACGACAAACAATAAATACTCACATTTACCATGATTTATCGAAAAACCTGGGAGACGATTGTACACGCTCGAACAACACCAAAATTACACACCCGAAAATGAAGCGCGTACGTGTACAGGTGTGATTTTACCGGTACAATTGAAGCGATAATAATATTAAAAAAAATAAAATAAAGAATATGTTAAAACGCTCTTCGTAACGAGGCCTAATTAATATTTAAATTAGATAAGAATTGAGTGCAGACAAGTCAGGTTGGCCGAGCGGTCTAAGGCGCCAGATTTAAGCTCTGGTTCTCGAAAGGGAGCGTGGGTTCGAACCCCACACCTGACACAGACCCTTTTATTTTATCCCTTTTACTATCAACGAGCAATTGAAACAATCGGTTTGTTACAAAAGAGAAAAAAAAAGACGAATGAGGCAATCGCTATTTGCGAAAAAAAAAAAACAAAATATTCCACACGACGATTAATTCGTTTCTAATTGGCGCGTTTCGGGTGGGCGGCGCTTCTGTCATAACGCGTTACGTGATTGTTTCTGGACCATCCAGAAGGTGGGGATATGGATGGATGGATGGATGAATTCAAGGGATAATATTTCATCTCTAATCTGTACCTCTTTCTTGGCGAGCTGCTGAGGGAACAGCACCTTCGGTTTCATCTTGACTCGTCCCTTTATTTTTTTCCTCACAAAACCTACGAGAAGATTACGACGGATTGAAGAAGAAGCTGATGATGATGATGATTGTAGTTCTGGAGGATCTAGTTCTCCGCTTGTTGCTTCGTCCTCTCCAAAAAAACTTTTTTACGTTCTTCCCTGGTATCTCCGAACTGGAATTTTCACTCGCTCCGCACTTTCCGAACTTTCGACACTTCACTTCACTTCTTTTTTCCTTCTCCTCAGACCATTCTAACGACGATCAATTCCCAGCGCTGCTCTCGCGACAGATACCATTTTCGATGCGATTCAGGTTATGTTCAATTCAAAATGTTTGTTTTGACAGCCGCCCGCGATCCATAAGATCACCCACTAGTGACAGATGACAGCTCTCACACACCCACCCCTCCACCAACAAACACGTAACACACACACACAGGACACCGCCCATTAACCGGTAACCAAAATCAGTGCGATAACAACAAAAAATACACCATTTACTACTAAATATTTAATATTGAACTGTTGGCAACAACAGCCCCTATAGTCCAGAATCTCACCGACAAATTAATTGATAAATTCAAGTTTGAAAAGTTTCATATATCTTTATTTATTTATTATTAAACTGTTAAGAATTCTAATATTTTAAACAAAATGTAATTTAGAAGCGAATTCAATAAGATTTTGATGTTAAAAAGTACAAGTATGCAACTCAACTTGCACCTAATTAGTAAAAGTATTATTTATATTTGTGGGTAATACCAAAATATTTCTGCTTGCTGTTGGTAGTGTGCTAATATTGTCAAACTATCAATACTATAAGAATTTTAGTAATTTTTATTTTTGAAGTTTAGTTAGTAATTTGTGAATGATTCAAACTATTGTGGAATTTGTGTTGGTAGCGCTGCATTTTCCTAACCCCCAAACACTGGTTCAATTTTGACAACGTCAAAAAAAACCAGTGCATTAGTAATCGAGGTGTGGTGTTCCTTTTTTTTTGATAAGGACAACAGAGGTGTGTTTACCAGCGCGAAGAAACGAGGATGAGCGCAACATTGAAGCCCTACCTGATGGCGGTTCGGCACACGCTGACCGCGGCTATGTGCCTGGACAACTTCTCCTCGCAGGTCGTCGAGAGGCACAACAAACCGGAGGTGGAGGTTCGCTCCAACAAGGAGCTTCTCCTCACACCGGTCATCATCTCCAGAAACGAAAAGGAGCGTGTTTTCATAGGTAAAACAATCAAATCGAAACAACAAACAATACCATGACAACAGTACAAATTGTCATTTTGTTTTGTTTTGCAGAGAGCTCCATCAACTCTGTGCGCATCAGTATTGCGGTGAAGCAGGCCGATGAAATTGAGAAGATCCTTTGCAAGAAGTTCATGAGGTTCATGATGATGCGCGCCGAGAACTTCTTTGTGCTTCGCAGGAAACCCATCGAAGGTATGCAATATCAACAGGAAAAATACGCTCAACAGATGACACTGTTACTTATTAATTTACTATCTAGCGTTAATGCGATATGCAATAACATCATTGTAAATATGGTTGACAGGTGGTGACATTTAAAATTGAAGGGTTGACGCTTGTTTAGTTGCATAATCTGTGGGGGTATTAGTTTGCATCCAATAGGATTGTTAACAGATGACTGCTTTTGTCAATAATATTAACGGAACGTTCAATTTACCATGTTGTAAAATTGTATTATTATTATTTTAGGCTTTGACATTAGTTTTCTGATAACCAACTTCCACACGGAGCAAATGTACAAACACAAACTGGTCGATTTCGTGATACATTTCATGGAGGAAATCGACAAGGAAATTTCCGAGATGAAGTTGGCGGTGAACGCGAGGGCCCGTATCGTTTCCGAGGAATTCCTGAAGCGCTTCTGAAACCCTCACCCATTATTATCATTTTTTTTTTTTGATTTTACACAATTTATCAATCCAACTTTATTAATTTATTCTTTTTACCAGTTATATGTATATCTTGAACTGCCAACTGTTCTTCTCCCTATGTGACTGAGTAGTTTTTACGCGTTTCCATAAGTTTTTTAAATCGATTGCTACAAATGACATCTACCGCTACTTTAATACTTTAGAGCGGAGGACGATGATCGTCGCGAGATGTCGTCCTGTAAATACACTAATTATTATTATTATTAATTTTTTAAAATGAAATCTGTCGTATTTTAGAACAAACAAAACTAAAACAACAAACAATAATTGTATTATATATTAAGTGTACCATCTAGGAGTTAATTTTTTTTTATATATTATGATGTACATTAATTAATTGAAAAAAAAACTAAATGAAACAGAGAAAAAACTTTAATTTGATTTCTATCCAATCCCAAAGTGAAATTGCAACAACAAAAATGAAAAGGTGAAAGGATGCGAAAAAGTAAACTCTTTGTAGTAATAATAATAATAATAAAAAAAAATGTATTCTGCCACATTCCATATTCGTACATATTTATAAATATATACAAACAATTGCACTAGATTGCTTTCGTTCCGATTTGTAGATTACATAATAAGTGTATATAATATAAAATACGAGTATATAGTATACAGTTTTTTTGTTGATCAAAGGAGGCACTTTGTGTAATCAGTCGTTGAATTTTGTTAAGACGTTTTTGTTTTGTTTAACCTCTAAGTAAGTACAACCTCGATGCCTAAATAATTAACCGGTATCAATTGTTCGTGTTTTTTTTTTGCTTTTACCCAGATTACTAAGATAATTGACACGTTCTGGAAGAGACTAATTACGAATTGCATTGTTCGATAATACGTTTATCAAAAGGAACCTTCGACTAAAAGAAGTATTATAAGTATACATGATTAGCTAAGGATCTTCTGCAGGGATTTGCAGATTCGAGAGAGAGAGCGCCTAAAAATAAATAATTAATTTAGCTAGGTTCACACGATTTTTTCACATTTATATGTGTGTGTGGATATATATATATAAATTATAATAGAGCTAAGTAGGTTTTGGTTTTGTTCCGTTCTTTTGTTTTTTTGTTGTTGTTGTGACGCGAGCGTCACGATTCGATTTTGTTAGCTGTTGACGGCGTTCGGTCGCAGCCTGCTTAGGTAACCGGTGCTCGGATGGAAGATCTTGTAGTAGACGATCATGAAGAGGATGCCGATGAAGAAGGAGATGAAGTTTATGTAGAGGATGGGCTCGTAGTAGAGGGTGCTCTTGAGGACGGCGTCCGCTTTCAGCATCCAGATGATCGTGCAGACGACGTTCTCGACGCACAGCGTCATATAGAAGAAGACGTACTTCCAGAGGGTTCGGCCGTCGTTCAGACTGACGTGCGTGAAGATGAAGACGGTGCCGAAGATCATGTAGAAGAGGAGCTCGTAGATGTGGTTGTTGTTGCAGAAGGAGAGCTGATGGGTGGAGATGAGGAGCCAGATGACCATGAAGGCCCAGTGGACGACCAGAGCGATGACCGTGTACTCCGGGTAAATGGAAGCGACGACGCTGATGCACATGATGCGAGACACTAACAGGAAGCGTAAATGAAGACACGAGAGAACGTACACAAAATTAACTGATTATTATTACCTGTAACTAGGAAGTGCCACATGAACTGCATGATTGTTCCGGCCCAAGTGATGTTGTTCTTGTTGTTCAACGACACCCTGAGCAATCTTTGGTAGGACGCCATGGACCAGGCCATGCTAGCGAAGCTGCTCCCTATGGACAGCAGCTGGTGCATGACTGCAAAAGACGAAAGCAAACAGACGACACGGAGGCGTTAAGCAAACATCGAAAGCGGACAAACAAAGACAATTAAAGCACATACAGGTCAAGGTGTTGGTGATGCCTTGGCCGTGCGTGTGGAAGATGATCGAGAGCTGCAGGATCTGCTGAGGGGCCGCCTCTAGGAAACACTCCAACACGCGCAGCAGCGCCACGTCCGAATCCTCCTGCACCATCAGCTTGTAGTATTTCCGTTGGTTCTCCACGTCCCTCTCCTTCTCGGCCTTCTTCGATTTCAGCGCGTAATTCAGGGCATCCACGTAACGCAGGACGGGCGCCAACTGCAGAAGGAGGATGAAGATGCAGAAGAAGCCGCGCTTCGTCAGACGGTTCGGCAGAGACGGATTCCTGTGCTTCTCACGGTCCAAAACGTACCTACACAGAATACCCACAGAAAAAAACCTCAACAACAAAGCAATATAAACAAACGACAATGGAAGAAGCAACATAAATTTTAAAATTGTAAAGTTTCTTTTGAAATATAGACGCGACGCTCGAAGATCGACTGGTTATCTAATCACCAAAATTTGTGAGATGTTGTTGAAAACACTGGAAAACTACGCAAACTACAAACTGAACGCAAGTACAATACAGTTTGAATTTTTAAAATTATTGACGCAACACGAGAAACTTGAATGGTAAAATTAAAAAGTTTGAGAAACATTGGTTCGAATGTGAAACTGCAACAACAATCCCATTGGTCGTCACACGATTGACGCAACATTTACACACACACAAAGATCAACTGGTCATCTAATTACCAGGAACTGTGCGATGATGTCAAAGCAAAGCGATCGCCTATAAATAAACACACGAAATTTCTATTGTCTCGCATGCCAACTATGATCTATATGTAAAACACACAAACCACTCACATTCTTATGCTGAAGCAGGTGTTGACCATGGCAGGTACAAGGATGAAGACGAGCGTGATATAGAAGTACTGAATCTGATTGTCAGTGTAATATCTGTAGGCCAAATTGCAGTCGAAGATCAGATCGACGAGGTGGCTTATGATTGAGATAATGAAGCCAGCGATATCCCATTTTGTGACCCTGTCTCTGGATGGTAGCCTGTCCACCTGATCCACAGCCTCTGTCTCGCACATCTTCGTTTGGTAGATCACAGTCATAGCTCGAGCTCATCCAGCTCATCACAGCCTGCAGATTATTGGATAGATCTTTTCGAAGCACATGTCACGCATCTAACATTACTTCTTTCCCACTTTTTTTTTTCACTTTATTTTCTTTCTCAGATGTATAGAGATGAATATGCACACACACAACCAACACACACTCACTCACTCACAGTGGGGAAAACTAAAATTATAATTTGCGCTGAACCAAAACCAAGAAACGAATTTGCACGAGCACACTTTCGCTCTTCGCTCGTGGTTTTTTTCTGCAAATCTCCCGATAATTAATTGTTATATGCAAATTAAAGAAAATAATAAGTAACGTTTCCTGGTAAATCACACGTTACACACCATTTTGAGACTAATAACATACGATGCGCTGGCAACCACACTTACATATGATGACTCTCTTCATCTCTTCTATTCAATACTAATTTTCAATTTATATTCTACACTAATAATTTTCTTTTGATATTTAGTTGTAATGATTGAAAATTTTACTTTATATTAATATAATTAGGGTATGATCTTTGCAAGGTCCCTTGAATGGACCACCAATTATGACATTCACTGACAGCTAGAATCTTATTTGACATGTGTCAAATGCGCGAGGAGATGCATCTGGCAGCTGATAAATAAATACAATTTGGTGTGTTTATATGGTCGGATTTAACTAAAAGAGAAGACAATGGCGACGAGGAGTCTCACTGACGTCTACTTGCTGATGAGGAACAACGCTCTGCGGAGCCGTTACCATCTTCACGAGTTCGAACAGGTGATTTACTTTACTTTTCTCCATTTGTTGTTTGAGTTTGAAGATTCATGTTCTTGTTTTTTTAGGAATTCTCCGAGCGGTTGCAGCTGGTCGTGTTGGGGGACGTGGAGCAGGGACTCGAGAATAAAGATGAGGAGGTGCTATCTCCGCCGTTGTGGATCGATCAGCTGGAGAAGGCGCAGGAGACGCTCACGAAACTCAAAGACAAGATAACAGAGTTGAAGACTTTGCATTCCAGGCACTTGCACAGGCCCACGTTTGATGAGAGCTCCGAAGATGAGGTTCTTATCGACAAATGCACAGCCGACATAAGCAACATGTTCAATGGGGTGCACAGACTGATACAGATTGTGAAGAGCCACGCGATGGATGGAAGCATGAGGGAGCGAAGGGTGACGGTGAACGTGGTGAGGAGTTTGGCGACTTCGCTGCAGGAGTTGTCGATGCAGTTCAGGGCGACGCAGAACGGTTATCTGAGGCAGATACAGTCGCGCGAGGAGAGATCCAAGGTGTACTTCGAGAATCCCAGTTTGGATGATTACGACGTCTTCAACGAGGACAACATCGACGATTACTTCGTGCGCTCGAAGCAGATCACGCAGCAGCAGCTGCTGTTCCTCGAGGAGGAGAACACGAAGATGGCTCAGCAGAGGGAGCAGGAGGTCACCGCGATCGTCAAATCCATAGTGGATTTGAACGCGATCTTCAAGGATCTGAGCCAGATGGTGGCGGATCAGGGCACCGTCCTCGACAGGATAGATTACAACATCGAGCAGACTCAAACGAAAGTCTTCGAGGGTTTCAAGCAGCTGCAAAAAGCCGACGCGTACCAGAGGAAGAACAGGAAGATGTGCGCTATACTCGTGTTAGCTGTCACGACGATCCTGCTCTTCTTCACGCTGATAATCGTCAAAACTTGAATGACGTAAACGAGCTCCGCCCCCCTAGTCAAACTCTCCACCAACCACAACCCTGTATATACATTATATAATAGTAATTTATTCCATTCCCAAGACGACGACAACAAAACAAACAAACAAAAAAAAAACATTCTATATACTTATGTAATTTTATTAGACTTAAGCTTAATTTATTAAATGTCTCATATCAAAAAAAAAAACGAAATGAGAAAAGAAAACAAGAATCCTTATATATATATATTATTATGTTTCTCCTTTCATAAACTGAAATGGCATCTCATCCCATCTCCAATCTAAAATCTATTTATATCGACACTCTTAACAATATGTTCCAATTATAATTAATTAATATATAAAAAAAAATAAAAATAAGTAAATCAGTCGACTAAAGCTAAACCACCAAATTTTAAAATGCAGTTGCTTTGAAAAAACAAAAAAAGATAATATAGAAACAATGGGGTTTACTTGTAATCAAATGTAAAAGAAAAAAAAAACAAATAACTATCGGATATATATATATAAACAAGTACTCCCGTTCAATAAAAAATGGAAATTGCAAAGAAAAAATATAAACTATATAATTAATTAATATAAAAAAATATAATTACAAAAATTGTTCTATACTGATGCCGAGAACTTTAAGTTCTCTCTCGCTCTCTCTCCATTCACACTCGCTCTCTCACTTTGAATTAATTAAATAAATTATAAGTTAGACACAATTTTGTTTGTATATATATATATATGTGAAAAAAAAAGAAGAGAAATTAAGGTATGAAGATAAAGGAAACGAAAAGTGTGTATATATATATATATACATAACTTAGATGCCTGCACATTTATCTTTGTACGTCTCGGTGACCTGTTTCTTGTATTCGTCCTGCGACTGCCACAGCTCTGCTGCCAGAACGTTCAAGGGGCTGTCGATGTTCGGTTCGCCGAGCAGCGCCTGTATGGAGAGCAGGATCGTTCTGACATCGTACAACGCCGACCATTTGTCTTTCAATATGTCCAAGCAGATGTTGCCGTTCGTGTCCACGTTCGGATGGAAGCACGGAGTCACGAACTTGACGCTCGGCGCCGAGTACGGATACGAATTCGGGAATTGAAGACTCAACTTATACTTTTGCCCATCGTACACAGTATCCTTCGGTCCGGATATGGTTCCAATCCATTTGAACAGATTCTCACCATCAGGGAATGCTGATATGCTCTTGTCCGGAGACATCATCAGAGTCATCAGCTCCTTGTGCAGTCTAAAAAACAAAAAAACAACAAAAGTTAGGTTATGTTACCAACAGATTCGATTGTGTTTTTTTTTCTTTTCTTCTTCTTCAGCTTCATATTGGAGGAGGATTTTTGGTGCTCTCACCTTTTGGTCACTGCGTGACTGTCTGAAGAGAACTTTTGCTTCTCATCGTTGTGTTTGGCCGCGGATTGGGCCTCGAAGTACGGGTTCACGTTTTGCGCCATTTGGTTAAAAAACTATTTCTCCTCTTTTTTTCGATGTGGTAACAAAACAAAAACACTCGAGGGGATGAACGATCCGTATCGACTTATCGGCGCTGAATGGGGCAGAAATTCGTTATTCCTCCTGTGACAGCGCCAATTTCAAACAAAAAAACCGACCAATGGAAGCCACCGACCGTACCGCGACTCACCAACGCGAGATGTCACCGCTCATTCGAAATTAACAATTTTCGCGCTCCCTTCACCCGACACTTCAATTTCACCGCCACGTAATCACTCATTTCATAACTATTTGCGAAATTGCAATTCAACATGACGGTTGCGGTTATTAAAACGTTGATTAACAGCGCAAATCGATAAGCGAAACAGCACCACCTGAGATTAAATTTCAAAGCAATCAACATTATACCAACATTAAAAGTAAACTTATAAAAAACGCGGCAACACTCCGTACATAAATTACTTTTAGTTGTTCTTGCAGAAATAACCGAAATGCAGCGCAACACAAGAATGGCACGCGAATTGAAGAGACTGGAAGAAGCCCCACCGCCCGGCATTTCCGTTTCCGCCAAAGAGAACAAGCTGAATCTGCTGGAAGCGCAGATCTTGGGACCTCCGGATTCTCCGTACGCGAATTCCCTCTTCAACTTGGAAATCCTCATACCGGACAATTACCCTTTCACACCACCATCAATCAAATTCTTAACCAAGGTCTATCACCCGAACATCGATGATAACGGAAGGATATGCTTGGATCTGATCAAAATGCCACCGAAAGGAGGCTGGAAACCGACGATCGGCATCGAAAATCTCTTAATAGCAACGAGAATGTTATTGGAAAACCCCAATCCGAACGATCCGCTGATGGCAGATATTGCCGCGGAATTCATAAACGACCCCAAAGAATTCGAGAAGAAAGCTAAGGAACACTGCAAACTCTATTGTTAAAAAAAAACTTTAAATAATAATATCACATAATTAACTTAAATAATAAATAAATAAGCTTTTCTCAATTAATTGTCGTTGCTCTCAATCTCCTTCTGGCTATCGAAGCTCCCATCCTCCTCGCACTCCTCAGCCAAACTACTTCGAACCGCTTCAGCGAAAGCCTGTGGATGCTGATTCGATAACTTTCCCTTGATCAGTCGGATCTTCTTGAAGATGTAATCCAGATCCTTCTTCATGTCGAGCAGCATTTGGGTGTGTTTCTTGAATTCCGGTCCGACTGTTTTCAATCTAAGTGCACTTAGCGCGTTGCAGTTCGTCAACATCTCGTTTGTTTTCTCGAAGCGCTGCAACCTAACGAAGAAAACAATTATAATGGTTTTTTTTTGGTGTGATTTGATCTTTCTTACATTTGCTTTTGCGCTCTTATCATTGATTCCACGTCCTGCTGATCGACGATGCCGGCCAAACCCTGAATGAAAACCTCTGGAGCGGTGTAATTCTGAAAGCACTCGATGCTGTAATCGCTTTCCGGCGTCCCTTTCCTATCGTCCATCACTGCATTTGTTTATCACTGATTATGTTTATGGTTATGTTTACCTGGAAGAACTGTCATATGATGATTATTGGGTGGCCTAACTCTCGGGTATTCCCATTTAAAATTTAATTGGAACATTACATTATAGTTTATAATCACTAATTATTTAATGAAAACGTAAATTATGTTCTTTGATAGTTAAATAAATTGATTTAACTAAATAGGAATTTATTACTAATACAATAAATAATAATTGTAGTTGTTACTTTAAGTTATCTGATAAATGATTTGTTTTAATCGATTTGTATGGTGAAATCGATGAATGTTTTATAGATAGAATTGTTTTAAATGAAGCGTTAATCCGCAAATGATTAGATTATGCGTGGATTAAGACTGGATATAGTGGAAAGATTGGGGAATGAATGGAATGGATAAGTTTAATGCGCTTATAAAAGAGAGATTAGTTTATTTATTTGTGTGCGAGTGGTATTGTTACGTTGGTAGACTTGGAGTGTTGGTGCGATATAAATTAACTAACTTATGAGACAACCCATTTTGACGCAAAACAGCGATGTCCGATCAGAAGGCTTTGCCGCAAGAAAATAGCCATGCCGATGGCAATTTGGTGAACAAATCCAATAAAAAGTGAGTTTACGACGTTCGCATCGTGCAGAGAATAGTATTTGGGATGTGCGAAATCGGTGCCGGTTCTCTCCGCTGCAGCGTTTTGTCTAGTCACCCAAAACCAATCAATAATAACCCTACTTCCTATTTTGTTATGCTAAAGCCAATTTGATGTTGTTTTCCTATCGTAGAGGCAAGAAGAAGAACAAGAACGCTGGAGGCGATAAGAACAACCAGGAGGATGCGAATGCAGTCAACGAGTTATCCTTGAAGGAAATCCCGAACAATGAGACTGGTCTCAAGAAGGATGAGGAGACTACGACGAAGGTGGCCGGTGGTGAGGAGAACAATGGTGAACAGATGAATTCTCTTGCGAACTTCTCGATCAAGGATATCAGGGCTGCCATGGAGATGTTCTCGCTGGAGCAGAGGCCTGCGAAGACAACAGAGGAGGCTCTGTGCAAGTCTTATCAGTTCTGGAATACGCAGCCGGTGCCGAAAATGGGTAAGTTCTCAGATTGATCTCGCGATTTCGTTATTGATTGTATGATTTGCAGGCGAGCGGATAAGCGCGAACGAGCCCATCGAGGCGGATAAACCGGTGTCGGAGATCAGGGCGGAACCGTACAGTCTGCCAGCGGGATTCCAATGGGACACGCTGAAATTGGACGATCCGTTGGTGCTGAAGGAGCTGTACACTCTGCTGAACGAGAATTACGTGGAGGATGACGATTGCATGTTTCGGTTCGATTATCAGCCGGAGTTCCTGAAGTGGGCCCTGCAGCCCCCAGGTTGGAAGAAGGAGTGGCACTGCGGGGTGCGCGTGGTGAAATCCGGTCGACTGGTCGGGTTCATTTCCGCCATCCCTGCCACGCTCAACGTTTACAATAAGACGCAGAAGATGGTCGAGATCAATTTCCTGTGCGTGCACAAGAAGTTGCGGTCGAAGCGAGTGGCGCCGGTGCTGATTCGCGAGATCACGCGGAGGGTCCATCTGACTGGATGCTTCCAGGCCGTCTACACTGCGGGCGTCGTCCTCCCGAAACCGGTGGGCACGTGCAGATATTGGCATCGTTCTCTCAATCCGAAGAAGCTGATCGAGGTGAATTTCTCTCATCTATCCAAGAACATGACGATGCAACGTACGCTGAAGCTGTACAAGTTGCCGGACAAGCCGAGGACTCCCGGGTTCAGGAAGATGACCGGCGCCGACGTGCCGAAGGCGCACAAACTCCTCAGCCAGTACCTGAAGAAGTTCGATCTGGCGCCGAAGTTCTCCGTGGAGGAGTTCCAGCATTGGTTCATGCCGCGCACCAACATCGTGGACAGCTTCGTCGTGGAGAACGATGGGGACATCACAGACTTCGTCTCGTACTACGCTCTGCCCTCCACCGTCATGCATCATCCGGTGCACAAGGCCCTGAAGGCCGCGTACTCCTTCTACAACGTTTCGACGAAGACACCGTGGCAACCGCTCATGACCGACGCGCTCATCTCCGCGAAGGACCTCCGCTTCGACGTCTTCAACGCGTTAGATCTTATGGACAACGATCAGTTCTTGGATCCCCTCAAGTTCGGCATCGGCGACGGCAATCTGCAGTACTACTTGTACAACTGGCGTTGCCCATCGATGGCGCCCAACAGGATCGGACTCGTTCTGCAATAGTTACACACAACACTCACACACAATACATAGACCGAACCAAGCAACACAAATAGAGACATACAAACAACAGCAACAAAAAGTAAATTATAATACTTGAGGAGACGCAGCTGAGAGAAGAACATAAACATAATAATACTATAATAATAAATAATATGCATAGGAATAAATAAGGAAACACCAATTCTTGAAGGTTTTTGTTTTTGCTTTAGTTTCCTTCTTTGATTTTTGTTTTTTTTTTGTTGTAGCCGTGTAATAATAATATAAACGTGATTGATTCTCACCTACATTATAAAAGTATAATCAAGAATAACGTTTGTTTGTTGCATTAAAAAAAAAATGAAGAAGAAAGTAAACGGACCAAAGGACATAGTGTTTTAATATGAAGAACGAAAGATGATGAATTAGCGTGTAGTAATGACGCCAAAAAAGTAATGGATTTATAAATAATAATGATATCTTCACACACCCACACACACACTTCACTTCGGTTTTTTCTTTTCTTTTTTGCGATTGATTTAGTTTGTTAAGTATATTAAACGAACATGATATATATATATGTAAAATGATAATGATTAGGAACGAGTTTTCGTTGATTTGTATGCATGATCGATTGATCGAAAGTAATGATGATGATGAAGATTATTGTTACCACTTTGTTTGTTTTAGAGAATGTTTCATTTCTTTTTTTAGTTTCTACAGAAGCGGTAGAGAAGAGAAGACAAACTACTTTTCTTTTTTCTTTATATCGAGTATAAAGATACAGAAATTTCAAAAAAAAA